TTCACTTTAAAACTATGTCGCCTCGTAAAAGCTACCTCCACCCGAGGAAAAAGTCTCTGGCTGTCTACTCTATATATACTTCTGAGCATTTTGTACACCTCTATCAAGTCACCTCTCATCCTTCGTCGTTCTAAAGAGAAAAGTCCTAGCTCTCTCAACCTTTTCTCATAAGACCTTCCCTCCATTCCAGGCAACATCCTGGTAAATCTCCTCTGCACCTTTTCCAACGCTTCCACATCTTTAGTGTAATAAGGTGATCAGAACTAGACACAATACTCCAGATGTGGCCGAACCAGGCTTTTATATAGCTGGAGCATAACTTCATGGCTCTTGAACTCAATCCCTCTATTAATGAAAGCTAACACACCATACGCCTTCCTAACAACTCTATCCACCTGGGTGGCAGCTTTCAGGGAACTGTGAACATGAACGCCAAGATCCCTCTGCTCCTCCACACTGCCAAGAATCTTTCCATTAACCCTGTATTCTGCTTTCAAGTTTGTCCTTCCAAAATGAATCACCTCACACTTTTCAGGGTTAAACTCCATCTGCCACTTCTCAGCCCAGCTCTGCATTCTATCGATGTCCCTTCGTAACCTAGAACAGCCCTCCGCACTGTCCACAACGTGACCCACCTTCATATCATCTGCGAACTTGCTAATCCACCCTTCCACTCCTTCATCCAAATCATTTACAAAAATCACAAATAGAAGAGGACCCAGAACAGATCCTTGTGGTACACCACTCGTAACTGAGCACCATGTTGAATATTTTCCGTCCACTACCACCCTTTGTCTTCTAAGGTTCAGCCAATTCTGAATCCAATCTGCCACATTTCCCCCTATCCCATGCCTCCTTACCTTCTGCATGAGCGTACCATGGGGAACCTTATCAAATGCCTTACTTAAATCCATGTATACCACATCCACTGCTCTACCTTCATCCATGTGTTTGGTCACCTCTTCAAAGAATTCAATAAGTTTTGTGAGGCATGATCTACCCCTCACAAATCCATGCTGACTATCACGAATCAAACTGTGCCTTTCCAAGTGATCATAAATCCTGTCTTTTAGAGCCCTTTCCAATAATTTGCCCACCACTGACATAAGACTAACTGGTCTGTAATTTCCGGGGTTATCCCTGTTCCCTTTTTTGAACAAGGGAATGACGTTTGCCTCTTTATGACTGTATACCTGCATTGTGTTATGTTTGCAGCTGATGGCATTGCTGGACAAGATACATCCGAGATTGTAATCTGGCCTATTTGAGCAGATATTTTGTTGTGGTTGTCAGAGATTAAAGTGAGAATCATTGGCAAAAACAGACATGTACACAACTGTGTACATGTGCTTCTTGTCACAAAAGATGAAAATAAAATAACTAACAAGAAAGCTATCTTTGTAGAGAACGCCATTTAAAAGTTGTTAAAACATGCAGCGTAACAATATCTCATCTATTCTTCAACAGCATCAGTTTACAATGAAACAAATGCATGAAAGTCTACTTTGATATCAAACTTCTATGTTGGACTTAATTGATCTTTCCCAGTTCTTTGCAGCTAACCATTGTCTTCTTACCTGAATATTTGCCAATTTGAGAATTTATGCTTTATGATATTTGAATAACCTGCAGATCTCAAGCCAAACAAAGTTAGCATGGATGTTAAACATGCTTTTCTCACTTAGTCAACTGTGCCTTATCTGAACCTTTACATACTCATTTCCAGGCCAAAAAAAACTACTTTTACTTCTCCTGCTGACTACCGTTTCTTCTTTACTTCACATATTTAAGCTTAAACCAAACTTGAATGCTCTGACCAAAATGAAAGAAAATACAAGCAAAATGCTGACAATTTCAACTAAAACAGAAATTTGTGCAGAAATTCAGCAGGTCAGGCAATATTTGTGTGTAGAGAAATAGAGTTAACAGATTGAGTCAGATAAAACTCTTCTTTCAAGCAATAAAAGAAATCTTTCATTCACAAACAATGGGGTCCCTGCTCTCTGACAAGTACTGGACTCCTCAATGTTTTGGACAGTTTGTCTGACCTAGAAACAGATGAATGTGAGCTCAAGTAACAGATGTGCTGGAAAGGTGGGCAATGTCTTGGAGGTAGCCTTGGTGATGGGATCAGAAACTCAG